AAAAAAAAATTATTTCAAATATTATTTTTTAATTATTTGTACGCGCCGAGAACTAATCGTATTATAAAGCAATTCATTTCGGTTAACACGCAATTTATTTATTTTGCTCTTTTTCAACGCTTCTTGTCGGCACCAACGCTGGCCTTCCAACAATTCCACTTAAAAGATGTTGCATTCCGCGCTGCTGCGCACAAGTTTTGTGAAGGAGCAAATTCCAGCCARCCGGCAAGTTACCAGTGCAACATGACAATAAATCTTTCAGCGTGGTATTTAAGCAAAATGCTACAAAATTGCAGTCAGACGGACACAGCGGCAGCGGCGACAATCGGCGCGGCAAATTCTATAATGCTGGGAGACAATAAGCTCAAGTTGAAGAATTCTTGTCGGCAGGCAGCGACAAAAACAAAAAGGTAGCGCGTGGAATTAAAATATAAGCACAAGGCGATACAAMTGAAGAAATTGGTGAATTGGAGGCAGTCGGCTGGAAAGCCGGCGGACGGACTGCTGTTCGATCAGTGAACGCCTTGGCCGCTTGCTTAATTCGCAGAGCTGTAAATTACGTGTTGTTGGCGTGCATATTTTTGGCGGACTGTTGTGGTTGCAACTGTTTTTGTTACAATTTTTTATTTGTAAAGACAAGTTTGTGGCACAAAGCAATTGAGGAGGATTTTTTTTTACATTTTTGATAATTATTCTTCAATCATTACGGTCTACATAAAACATACTATGTATGTATGTATACAAAAATATAAATAAAATTAAAAAAAAAATTTTTTTTTTAATTTTAGTATTACTTAATAGTATGATATTGAACTTTTACTACAATTTTTCTTTAAATTTTCATTGTTTGTCCGCAACACCAACGCTGCTACACGGCGGCGCTTCCCACCAAATCGCAAATATATGTACATACATGCACACAAACAGGCTTGCATTTCAAAGAGAAACATTTTGCTGACATGTGTCGAACTGCTTTACGAGGAACTTGCGACTCCGAATACAAAAACAAAAACAACAGCAATAAAAAATGTACACATATGCGAAGTGTCATAAAGATAACGAGGCGTCTAATTAGCATAATTTGATTTGCGGCATCAAAAAGGCAGATTTTTAAATTAACAAAAAACAAAACAACAACAACTATAAACGCTGATAAAAGCCCAAAAATGGCAGCGGCGATTTTCGCATTTTTAGTTAATTTATTTGGTTGTTTTTGTTTTTCCTTTCGCAGCTGCTGCTGGGTGATAAAACTGTCGGCATTTATTAGCGAAACTTTTTATTGGCGAGCGGAGTGTTGATGGACGGAGCAACAGCAAATTCGGCTTAATGTGCGAGAAGACAAGGGAAACAATCAGCGCCGCCACTTTGTATTGTTTTGCTACATAAATTTGCTAGTTAATTAGAAAATGATTAAGTGATGCGGCGAAATAGCACAAAAAACTGAACACAAAATGTTAAAAACACAATAAAAAAAGGTTAACAAACAATGGAAAAATGCTTAATCATAGATTAAACTAAAATTAGAGATTAGCTTATTAAARTTCGTAAAGCAACAACTTAAGAAAGTAAGACATCGTTAGATTTTATGCCAACATATGYTAATTGATGTGATAAAAAACGTGAAGCCGTTGGTTTCGATTTGCGGTACATATTAAAATGAGACCCACTGTCTGTCTAACTAAGCAAATTCCAATTTAAATGGAAAAAAATGAAACAGGGCTTAAATAAATCGGRTTAAGCGGATGCTAAGCGCTATAAAAATAACGTTGTGAGGAAAACAAACGCTGAGAAATATCTTCGAATTATTGTAAATTGCTTTTATAGCTCACAAATGATCGATAGTGAGCGACTAATGACAAGAAGTAGCTGAAACCGTTTATGCTAATAAATCAATTTATCAGAAATACATACACACAAACATATACATATTTATAAAAGCAATAAAAAGTGAGCGCGGCAAGACAACGGAGCTAAATTTAGAAGGCAAGAGGCAGGAATAGAAGCCGTTGGAAATAAAAAACGAATTAAATATTACATTAAATTAATTACGAAATGTTAAAAATAAATTATAAAAGATATAAAAAAAATGGAAAAATATAGTAAATGACTTAACTGATAGAAGTGAAATAAAGCAAAAAATAAAAAAAAAACAATA